ATAAAATATCATCTCAAATCATGATATAAACATAAACTGGTAATCATACTATAATCTCATCACATCAAATGTATTAGAAAAATCCACCAAAAATGTATCCTCTGACTAAAATCTATAATCCATCCCTTGGGCTAAGAACTTTCGCCAAGGGCCTTTGGCCCTCTCCATGAACGAAAGCCGGTCTCAAGACCCTAGTAATCAATTCTAGAACATAGTCAAAACCCCTCTATGAACTATATGCACACGATCAAGACCAATGGTAGGTCAAGAACCCTCCATGTAGGATATAACACGACTAAGGCCCCTCTGTGAACTAGAAGAAGTATATAATCATGGGTACTTTTATGGTCGATCTCAATATTACATATCTCACGTACCAAACAAATTTCAATAGCACATGTCTTACATATCAAGTAACAAATGTGACGTAAATAATCTTTGAGATTCAACATGTATCATAATAAAAAAGATTTCCATAATAATCATATAATCGAAAAAATAATTGCTCATAAGTGAACGTACTTTCATAATATACTTAATTTATAAATAATTTAAAAATATTTATATTTTTCCACTCATACAACTATGTCGTAAAACCAACTCGGTTGGTAAGCTGTCTCGATATCCGTATCGCCGTTTGAAATATGATATAATTTTTAAATCAACAATTAATTATTTTAAGTAATTTCAATAATTAAATAAGCGATACTCAAAATTAATCATTTCACGTTTAAGCGATTTTTAAAGTCTCTTTAATCACTAAAACCAATTTTTCTTTCATTTAACTCAACTTCATAGCTTATTATACTTAACCCTTTCAATAAAATTGAATTTAATCTAATAATCTAACAACTATAAAATTATACATAAACTTTCAATAAATAAGTTTTTACTTACCTTTAAATTAGAAAAATTCAAGCCTAATAATAGGATAACTTATTTTCTAACATGTTAGCAAAAAATTTCTATTTTTTTCTTCCTCTTCTTCTTCTTTTTTCCCCCCTTTTCCTTTCTCTTTCTCTTTGCTCTCGGCTTCTTGTTGTGTAGTGTGTGTTTGTGAGTGTTGAAATGGATTTGTTTTGAGTTTGTGGATAGATATATATATATATCCACCGACTAAGCCAGCGTTTTTCCTTTTTTTTTTTTACTTTTGACTTTTCTTTTAATTAAACTAATGTATTACATTCTCACCTCTCAAATTACATCTATATCATAAAATCATGCAATAACAAGGGGCAAATTCAATTAAGTGGGAGAGGAGAACAAATCTAGCAATGAATTGAATCAAGAAACATTAAAAACTTGAAAAATCAAATCTTGGGATTGATAATGAAGAATAATTTGAGTTAAATTTTCAACACACTATGAATCACCTCAATTGGATATAGGTGAAAACATTATAACCAAAATACTGAAAGTTGTTTAAAGATATAATCATGTGCGCACAAAGGCAACTTTCCTTATTTGATTGAAACTCTTTTAGAAGGCAATTTGGATGTGAATCTAAACCTAATTTCATCATATATAATACAAGATATAAGTAGCCACTAGGGAATCTCGATCTCACCTCTCAAATTATATCCATATTATAAAATCATTCAAGAACAAGAGGCAAATTCAATATAAATTGAAGAGGATAACAAATATTGCAAGGGATAATCAAGAAACATCAAGAACTTGAAAAAACAAATCTAGGGGTTGATAATCAAGAACAAGAATTGTGGTCATTTGAGTTAGTTTTCTAACATACTTTGAATTACCTTAATCAGATATTGGGAGAGAACGTTATGATCAAAATATTGAAAGCTATGCACAAATATAATTATGCGTGTACAAATGCAACTTCTCTTATTTTTTATTTAAACTCTTTTGGAACGCAATTCGGAGTTAATATTAATCTAATTTAATCATATATAATACAAGATATGAGCAGCCATTAGGGGATCTCACTCTCACCTCTCAAATTACATCCATATCATAAAATCATTTAAGAACGAGGGGCAAATTCAATATAAATTGAAAAGGGATAATCAAGAGACATCAATCTAATCTTGGGGTTGATAATCAAGAATAAGAATTGGACAGTGACATCTTTTTTTGGTATTTATAAATTTCGGTATTGTCACTACTAAAAATCATGGCTTCAGGTGCAGATTTTTCGTTCCTGAAATCCCGATATTCGTTCCTATTACTCTTTACCAACGGAATATTTGAAATCGCAAATCCGTTACTAATTTGAGGGTCGCTGATAGTTACCAATAGATCTTATCATAGGTAAAGAATAAACATTTTACCAACGAATTTTCGTTAGTAAAGTGTGAATCTTCGTTAGTAAAGTGTGAATCTTTTACCAACGAATTTTCTGTTGGTAAAAATCTTAACCAATACCAATCGACTTTTCATTGGTAAATGTCTACCATTACAACTAATAAAAATCAATGTTGTAAATAGCTGTATAGGTGTGATGCATGGTAAAAAAAACAAAACAAAATAAAACAAAAACTTATTTTTTTATTATTGTTATTATTATTTATTTAGTAATTCTAATTTTTTTAACTTTTAGCCAACCAAATTGAAAGGCCAAAATATTGTTTAACCTCTCATTAGACCACAAATTAATTTATAGAGGGCAACTCCGAAAACTTGGTTGTGAACTTTCGACGTGGGATAAGTGAATTATTTTTACCAACGGATAATCTATTTTTAATTACCAAAGGAATATCCGAAGATGAAAGATCCAAATGTTAAACGATTACATGAGGCACGGAATATCCGATGGTAAAGAGATACTATCATTACCAGTGGAAAATTCGTTGCTGATTATCGTAGTCGAAAGTGAATTACCATTACCAACAGATAATCCATCCGTTGGTAATATTCGGTATGTCACCTACGAATATTCCGTAGGTGAAAGATTCAAATGTTAAACGTCTCATGAGGCACAGAATATCCGCTGGTAAAGAGATATCATCGTTACCAACGAAAAATCCGTTGTTGATTATTGTAGCTGAAAGTGAATAACTTTTACCAACAGATAATATGTTTTTAATTACCAACGGATTGCATCCATTGGTAATTTTTCGTAGGTGAAAGGCTGTTTTTTAGTACTGTGTTCTTTTAATCTTCTTGTTATTTTATTACTAGAAACATGTTTAGATAGGTTTCTTTGTGTTGGATGAAGATGAATCTTATTATTATTTATTTTTAATTCAAAGAACAAGTAATTTAGTAAATTCAATTTATTGATTGATCTTGTATACTTATTGCATTATTTGATGGTTTGATCACTAAATAATGAGTTGCTTGTTATAGTATTGGAGGCTCACAAAAGGTTTAGAACACTACAATTTCAGTACAGGACAAGTAGATGTTAGGAATAACATGTATGGTGTGTGCGATCTTCTCAATAATCGTGTGATTGAATGTTTGCCATGCATATGAATTTGGCTAAAAATAGGGTCAGATCGTGTTTAGGACATAATTAACTTATCTTAAAAAGTTAAATAAAATTGAATTACCGAATGTCATGTATACACAAATTATGTTAAATTATATAGCTAGGTAGAGAATTGGAATTAAAATAACAATAGGTGAATTGGTTCCAACACGTACTACCCATATTTAATTAGAAACAATTGCAGATAATTTAGCTATAATCAAATCATCTTTTTTGTTTTATACAATTAAATTTGATAACGAGTTGATAAATTTCAATTTAAAACTTATTCCTTGTGGGATGGTACTCTTAATTCACTTAATCTATTACTTGTCAATGATCTCACACGCTTACAGAATTTTCTCGAATGAGCACATCTAAATATTCCTTTTTCAAATAAAAAATGGATAATAACGTGTATAGCCTTAAAACTGCGTGTTAAACTATATTAACTTAAGGGTATTTCTTGTAGTCTCATTAAAAAAAATTAAAAAAAAATCTTATATATATTAGAAAGTTTAACTTAAAGAGTAAATCTTTCGACACACTTTATCATATTCTTTGTTTAGATCTTCATTTTACTTTTCAATAACCAACAAGGATAGAGTGAAGGGGGGGCAGCACTGGGCTGCCAAAGCCCATGTCCATTACAAGCCCAAAAAAATGTTAGAAAAATTTTATTTTTAGTCCATTAGCCCACCCATTTTGTAAATTCAACCTGGCCCAAAAATTTATTTTAATACCCAATAGACAATAGCCCATTGCCCAACACCCAATTATACAACAAAATGAACATAATATGACCATAAGAGAATAAGAATTGAAACCCTAGGACCCCAAGGTCCTGAACGGCCGAACCCAACCTGAATATCATTGTACAGGTTCGGATTTATAATCTCTTTGTTTTAAATTTCAGTTAAGTTCATATATGTGTTTGTTGTTTGGGCTTGTGGGATTAAATTTCAATTAAGTTCGGATTTATTGTTGGTATCAAATTTTATTTTTTTTAATTCTTTTTAATTTTAATTTTTTTAAGGTTAATCACGAGAAGGGCTTCTGGAGACTGGGATTATGTAATTAGAGTTTTGTGATTCTGGAGTTTGTCCTTCTAAAAAACTTTTTATTTAATATATTTTAGCTTTGCTGAATATGTTTAGTTTTAATAAGATTTATTTGTGGTACTTTTTTTAATTGGAATTAGGCTTTAGCGAACCCATTAACGAGTTATGGCATCACATATTAATGGCATTTTGGTTCCACTACTCAAAGAAGCTGGAGCTCTCTGGCTTTAATGGTCGTTTTTCAGTTTCTTAGGCGGGGAATAAAAACAAAAAGGAGTTTTGGTTCTGTTTTAGTTTATTGATATCGAGCCCTCTATTTTAGAAGTCATTTTAGTATTCTCTTCTCTTTAGCCAACTCTTTCTTGGGAGTTGTGGAGTTGTTACTCCTTTAGTTTGTTCTTAAAAATTTCTAATTGAGTACTGATGTAACTCTGAGCAAATCCTTTGTACAAAGAATGAAGTTTAACTTTGATATTTATGTGTTTTACTCTCTAATTTAAACCATTTAAAAGTAGAAAGAGTCACAATTAAAGTTACTACAAGTTAGTGTCTATTCGATTAGCTTTCTTTTCGCTATTCTATTTTCCTTTCTGACATAGTTTTGTAATAGGAATGCTTGACTAATTATTTTCTTAAGCTTAGAGCTGTGAGATTATAAAAATTGAGATATTCTTTTGGCATTTTAGTATCAAAATGACAGTTAGCATTTAAGTGTCAAAATGAGAGTTACCTAACTTACCTTGTCTTCATGTGATTTAAATGTTGTTTACTTTAGGTTTGGATATATCCTTCACATTCATTCCCTGCCCAGATTTACAACGCATCTCTCTCTCTCGATCTCTACAGATTTAGTGATCTCATGGAATAGAGCCGGAAACAGTTTTATTGTTTGGGATTTTCACAAATTTTCCACTATTCTGTTGCCTAGGTACTTCAAGCACAGCAATTTTTCCAGCTTCATTCTGTATGGTGAATCCAATACCTTTTCTTGTAAGTAATTGATCTTTTATATTATCTTCTGCCATTTATATATACTTATGTTTAATACGATATTTGGATCTGGATATGAGTGTATGATAATTCTAAGATTTGGTGTTGAATTTTTAACTAGTTATTATATTTTTGAAAGGTTAGATAAGTGGTTAAAATGTTGCTAGTGGATTGTTTTTGGATTGTTGGGATACTGAAGTGTTTTGATTTTTTTTATGCTTTTAGATTTTAATATGAAACCAAATCGACCTCTTGCCAAGAAAGGAAGAACCTTATTATCTTTTTTTACAAAGAGCGACAAACCCAAGGGTGGTCCAACTCCTACGGTACCCAATCCTCCAATTGCTACTCCAACTCCTATGATACCTAATCCTCCAATTGCATCTCCTAAAATTGAACGGTCTTTATTTTTCAATGTTGAGTTAGAACCATCTGATTCTATAGAACGAGACCCAGGAAAAAGAAAGCAAATATATGAATATCCGTTTAATGAACGTGATCAAATTAGGCATGCCTATTTAAAAGCTAGGCCTTATCAACCAAAACTTTTGGAGTATCAAAGCAAAGAATTTGGAAAACAGAACGTCAATTTCAAGAGCATTGGTACAATCAGTATTCTTGGTTGGAGTATTCGCCTTCAACACATAAGGCATATTGCTTTTTCTGCTTTCTTTTTCTCAATGAAAGCGTTCCACCTAATATTTCATCATTGGTTACTATTGAATTTGATAGTTGGAAGAGGGTTGGTCAGGGAAGTAAATGTGCATTTCTTGTTCATATTGGTACAACATCTTCATCATATCATAATGGCTGTAAGAGAAGAGCTGAAGATCTAATGAAACCAACACAACATATTGACAAGATAATACACGATGTATCAAGTGAGGAAAAACAGAAAAATCGTTTGAGTCTAATGACCACAATTATGAGTGTTCGGTGGCTAGCACTTCAAAGTTGTTCATTTAGAGGCAATGATGAATCTCCATCTTCACTGAATCGTGGGAACTTTCTTGAAATGGTAGATGCATTTGGAAAAATGAATACAAAAATAGGAGAAGTTGTGTTGGGTAATGCTCCAAAAAATGCTACATACACATCTCCAGACATTCAAAAAGAGATTTTGAGCATTATGACTAACAGAGTAAGACAGTGAATCCGTAAAGAAATTGGGGATGCAAAGTTTAGTATTCTTGTTGATGAAGCTCGAGATGCATCTTCACAAGAACAAATGGCTATTATCTTGAGGTTTGTGAATGGTAATGAAATTTTGACAGAGCTTTTTTTTGCAATCAAAAGTGTTAGTGACACTACATCGTTGAATCTTAAGAATCAAATTTCTGATGTTCTTGTTCGTTTCAACATTCAAGTGCAAAACATAAGAGGTCAAGGGTATGATGGTGCTAATAACATGCGTGGTGCTTGGAATGGACTACAAGCATTATTTCTTAGAGATTGTCCATATGCATATTATATCCATTGTTTTGCTCATCGTTTACAACTCATGTTGGTTTCAGCAGCTAGGGATGTTGCAGATATTAATTCATTCATTTCATATTTGGACAATGTTATTAATATGATTACATCATCTCCTAAGCGCATCAATGAGTTGAAAAGCTCCCAAAAAAAAGAAATTGAACATTTGTTGGAAATTAGAGAACGAGAGACTGGAAGTGTGGCTAATCAAATTGGTAACTTGCAACGAGCTGGAGGTACTCGTTGGTCTTCTCATTACAACTCTGTAAAGAGTTTGATTGATATTTATGCTGCAACTTGCAAGGTACTTAAGTATCTTAGTGATCATTCTCCAAATGTAAGAACTCGGTCTGAAGTGGATGGTGTATACAAAAAATTGACAACATTTGAATTTGTATTTATTTTGCATTTAATGCGCAGAATGTTGGCAATCACA